CACTCACTCACGAAACAAAACGCAAGCGTTGTTTCACGTCGGTTTTCTGTGAGGCCTGTGGTATCTCCGGTCGAACCGGCCTATTCGTGCCGAAACATGGTTCTCCTACACTTTTATTATTTTTAAGGGGGGAAAATCATCGAATGACTGCTCCCGCCTGAGTAAGGCGGGAGGGAGTGTCAGACTCTTACTGACTAAAAACTACCCCGTTCCTTCTCCTGCACGTCGAGCCGGAGCTCCGGTTACCCGTTAGGTTCTCCTACACTAGACGTACTTTAGTTCACAGATTAAAACGTTCATATTTATCAGAGAGCGCTGTTGCTCGGCTTCTGTTAATTACGTGTCAGTTCTGACGACAACCTGCAAGCAGAGTAGAGGTCGCGAAAAATAAATTCTACTCGTCGTAACTATACAGTATAAGAATAATAAATACCAGCGCAAAGGTATAGTAGGTTCGACATGTGATTGGCAAAGCATTCGCAGATCGAGAAAGTAAGACGCGACCAGCATTGTTTTATCATTCTATAGAAACTAAGACAATGTTATGATTGTATACGTTTTCCTAGAGCTGTCTAAGAGATAATGTCGGCACATAACTAAAGGTTCCTGATAATATTGTGTCAGTATTACAGAACAGACAGTAATTAGTATAAATAAAGTAAAAATTTTATTTTTAACTCAAAGGAGTTGCTTTTCTTGTTTGGTTATCTGTTGTTAGATGAATTTTCATGCTCGTCTGGTTTTTTCTATTCTGAATCCACTTCTGAGTTTTTTTTTATGGGATAAGCCGGTTTTAAAGGAGCAGACGGATCTCTTAATGGTCAGCAATCGGCGCCGCCCATGAACTCCTGAAACACCAAAGGCGTTACAAGTGCGTTACCGGCCTTTTGGATATTACGAATTTTAAGGATTGTGATCGATTCGGGGTTGAGGAGACTGGGGAGGGGGTAACCTCACTCACACAACGAGAAACAACGCAAATGTTGTTTCACGTCGGTTTTCTGTGAGACCGTGGTATCACTCCGGTCGAGCCGGTACATTCGTGCCGAAGCATGGCTCTCCCACACTTATTAAGCTACGGTTCTCGTCTAAATATGGCTATAGCAAGATTTACCAGGATCACCACCTAACCTGCCCAATCTGGAGATCATAGGTACTAAACGAATTTATCACTTAATACATAGTAGGTAAATTAATAATTAACGAGTCTTGAAAGTGCAACTTCCTTTAAATATTTAACTTTATTACTATGCACTTTAGTATTAAGTAAAATCGATTAACATTCATGAATTGATCAAGGAAATTAAATGAAATTAATCAATGTGACAATTAATTAGCTATTAATCATTGCAATCACTTTAACATGAAATAACTTTTAACTGTCGAATGCATAGCAAAGGTGCACATATCCGATGCAAGAACCACTTTTCACTACAGTCCCATTATAGATGATGATCCTATTGACGTACACCGTTTCAAACTATTATCGAGAACCGAGAAACTTTTAAACACCACGTTTTTTTTTTAAATACTTTGACCGACCCAGGAAACATACCCTAGACGCCACGACCGGAAAAGCAGACTACTCTACTCTCTCTTTGTTTTATTTATTTCGCTGTTTGATAACACTCCATTCAGTGGAATAACATTGTGTTATAAATAATCACATAATGATGCACTCCAGTGCAATGTTGCAAGTTTATAACTGCAATTGACTCGGTTCCTATAGAATATAGCCCAGAAATGGCGAACCATTGGTACGCGTACCGTTGATGATACCTTCCACATTTATGGGTTTTGAGGGCGAAAAATCATTATTTTACTTTTCCCGCCTTGTGTGAGGGAGATGTGTTAGACTCATACCGTCGAAAAACCATCTATTCCTGCTTCAAGACTACGATGGGATATTTTTTTTTAAGGGGGGGAAATCATCGAATGTCTTCTCCCGCCTGATAAGGTGGGAGGGAGTGTCAGACTCTTACTGACTATAAACCACCCCGTTCCTACTCCTGCACTTCGATCCGGAGCCCCGGTAACCCGTTAGATCTCCGCGGCACGATAGGATAGGCTACGATGACAGTATACCATCAAGACTTAGGCGATGGTTAACCATCAAAGGTATTAAGTTTGGTTGCTACTGTGGGTCATATATATAAAGGGTCAAAGTATTTTATGCGACATTTGTGACCTTAAGTTTCTTTAGAAAGTCGCGGAGAACCTAACGGATAACCGGGGCTCCGGCTCGACGTGCAGAAGAAGGAACGGGGTGGTTTTTAGTCAGTAAGAGTCTGACACTCCCTCCCGCCTCACCCAGGCGGGAGCAGTCATTTGATGATTTTCCCCCCTTAAGAAAAGGTTTCTTTAGAAAAATGACACATTGATACCAAAGTTCATAATACCTGGTATATAGGTTCTATAACACATAGACTAGCTTGCATAATGTCTGCGATCAGTCTGCTATCTAAAGTAGTGAAAGTTATTCATTTGTGAATTTATGATAGTTACGTGGATGCATGCTCCTTGTCGCGGCAAAAAACTGGTTTTGCATCGGTGTTACATTGAATCATGTGAAGATATTACTCAGTATGTCCTAAAGTTGAAATCGAGGGATGGGGCCCGGGTATATCCTAAAACTGTGACCAACCACTGACAACAAAGATGGACAGAGTAAAGGACAGTTCTATTTTCAAAAGTTTTTATATGAGGAGTGAGTGAAATCAATGCTTTGACATTGGTCAAGGAAACAGCATGTTTTTAATCTGTGATCGTTAAGTCACCTATCAATTGAATACTTGCCAACTAGTCAAATTCAATACTTTTTTCGAACTGTCAAAAACGACAGTTTTCTATGAATTTTGTACGAGATTGTGTATTGTGACGTCACGTTTTTTTAGCGTCAATAAGCATACTTATTTCTTGAAAATTTACTGGAAAAATACTAAAATTAAGTTGGTTATGTAATCAATTAATGAAAGTGTGATTATTGTTTAATATTTTATTGTATTGAACAGTCGAAATTATTTATTTTTGATTAAGGAAAGTACCTTATTGTGCACTATGGTAAATTCGCTCTTAAGAAGAAAGCCTTTGTTAAATAGTGGATGTATTAAAAACTGGTTATGATTATAATCAAGTTAAGACAAAAATCTAAAGCATCCATACTAACGAAATTGTTCGAAAATGTTCGTCTTGAATCTAGGATTAATTGATAAGATAATCTTAGCTAGATCCTATGAAATAAATGTAAGTGCGTTAATCGAACTTTTCCTCCTTGATAAACTGATTTGACTAGCCCACTAGTTACTGCTCGTGGACGTAACTGCAGAGTACAAGCCACTAACTTTGATTCCCTTGCTAAATGAAAGACAAATTAGACAATGGGTACTACTTTACAGATTTTCGTTGATTAACGTATGTATGTACCTATCAATTCATTAAAAATTATTGTAAATATCGTGAAGGACTTTATTTAAGATTGGTATCTATATACATATAACAAAATCGTAGAAAAAAACATTTTGTCTGTTTGTCTGTATGTATGTATGACCGCGATGATCTCAAAAAGTACTTCATGGATTTACTTCAAATTTTGCATGAATTTTATTAACAAGTCGGGTCAACATATAGGCTACATGTTATCACGCTATCTTCTACGGGGGAGGCGCCCTATACTAGGTACTGAATCAATTCTGACGACATTCGTTACCGTAGAATATCCCTTGATAAAGACTAATTCAAAAGCCTAAATTCTGTACGAAGTCAATGTTTTACGCGTGCGAAGTCGCGGGCAACAGCTAGTGTGTAAATCAATTAGCAAAACTAGAGCTCATGTCGCATTTTTTCTTACCATCCATAGTAATAAATCAACCAGTTTGTGCTATGTATGGCTAATTTCACCCGCATTTTGCGTTTCATAGCTCAAGTGATTCGCAATAATAATATCGTCGCCTATCACACCAACATGTACCTAACATGGAACAAGGTACGTTAGTTAAGACCCGCACCACATTAATAAAGTACCCTAAGTACCGTTGATGTTGATTCATTCACGTAAAATTTGTATGGAATCCATCCCACACATGTTACGGATATGTATAAATAGAAATATTTCGCAGAAGATATAGTGCGTTCGTAGGGCAGGATCAAAAAGTACTTTGGTCGATTTTAATGTATGTACCTACACTGATTTACGTTGACTAATTTACCTATTTATATTATGTTTTAAAGAAGCTACTAAATAAAGTAATAATTTATGATAATGATAACCGATAAGAATATCGAATATTACGAGAATTAATTGCGATTCTTGATTACTTAATCGAATTAAAATTAATATCAAGTCGAGTAAAATGTGATTGTCTCAATAAATTCAGTTCAGTACGGTCTGATGGAGGGCCATCTAATCAGTTTGCTTGTTCCATTAACCGACACGCAAGTTAAACCAGTTGCAAACTATTATTTAATGTTATTTCACTTCGCTGAATGCTTGAACCATTGTTTTCTGTTAGATACAAATACAAGCAATTGAATCGATGTACAACATCCCACTATAGTCGCCAACTTCGTACTTCCGCGGTTAAATACGAATTCAATTCACTTTGTAAGTACCCATAACAGATTACAGCGCAACGATTACAATCAGAGCTCAATATAAATGTGTTATAGTAAGGAAGAAGCAGTATTTATCTAATAAAGCATAACGCTAATTGAATTTCCCGGTAGTACAAGTAGGAATAATGAGATCGTTTCGGTTGCACCGCGGCGGCGGGTAGGGAGAGCAACATGGCGAGCGGGCGGATGCTGCGCGCTACAGCCTCCGCCACGGGCGTAGTACGCCGAACAAAGCCGCGTCCCACCCTACTCGCTTCCTGCCTCCGTTTCAGCCGCTTCCGGTCAACTCGTCCGTAGCACATTTTCATGTATGAAACTGACACTGATATCGATGTATATGATAGGAACATTCACTTTATAATTAAAATATAGTACTGATATCGACGTACAGTGATAGATAGATGTGGATGAGAGCAAGGAGCGTGTATGCGCGTGTGTCGTCGAGAGCGCGGTCCGCGGGCTACTGGCGGCAGCCTCCGAGCGGGGGCGCGGGGGCGCGGGGCTGCGCGGGCCACGCTTTTCATTAAGGAGCGGAGCTACGCCGCCGTAGCAACGGTCGCCGCCCCGGCCACGGGAAAGCTCCCAGCCCTTGTGATTTATCTCCGAAATCTCCAACAAACCAGCGGTGTTTTCCCGAAAAATGGCTTATACTTTCATGCTAGAGTTTAGCTGAAACAAAACTGAATTTATTCTTCCTATCTTTTATGTTACATGGTAGATGTAGAGTAAAACATTATAGGTACCTAAATTAGGAAAAGTTTCTTAGGTATAAACATTATATTATTAGTTTCGATTCGAGCATTTCTTTCTTTATTGAAACAAAGTTTCCTTTTTCTTGTATAGAAGCGCTATTTCTATGGATTGTCAGTATGCATATGTGAGCACCATGTTAGACTTAAGATTTTATTTTATTTTTTATTAAGTTATTAGTACAATGCGTCAAGCTTGTCTTTGCATTGTTCTTACATATGCGTACAGTATTGAAATATGTATCAGAGACATTGTAGAACATACTTTTTTTTAAAAAAGAGTAACGAATGGAGTTTCTTGCTCGTTCTTCTCCATTCGAATCTACAATCTACGTTTTGGAATGAGCACCTAGCTTCACCTAATTTCACTGACGGACTGACTGACAGACTATTATTTATTTTGTATTTGTTGACGTTTCAAAAGTAGGTACCAAACTATGGTTTAATTGAAATATATGCTTTGACTTTGACTTTGATCTAATTGACACAGATTCAGCGTGTAAATTAATAAATAAGTACCATACTTATGTACCTACTTAACACAGGTAAATAGTGTTAGGAGCAAATTACTCGTCATGAACCCGAATAACATGAACATTCCTAATATTTGTGGAAGGATCTTCTACACAATTACAAGTTTACCTTCCAATTAAGGTACCAAGGTCTTCCACGTCTCCAACCGAAAAACCAACGAAGTAAAGAGTTCCACCAATCTCAATAAACACTCTATAGCGTCAACAACTTTTATGACTTTGACACATCCTTATTGACATAATAATGAATCATACTTAAATTTTCCTAATAAAACATACTCAAAGTTTGATAAACTTATATTTTATAGAAATATATTTAATTTACAACTTAAAATGAATAAACGACAAGCGGCAGAGTTCTTATTTACCATCGCAAAAGAAATTCAGCAATCTTTCGCCAGTCCTGTGATTTTCTTTACGCATAAAGACTATGCCGAAAATGTATTTGATGTCTACAAAAAGATTCGTAAAGCTCTACTGGCAAATGCTAGTTCAGAAACTATCGTCGATATCGTTTACGAGTTCCACATGGAATGGCTGCAAGCTGTACAAGAGATCGAAAATTTCAAGGAAAATGTGAAAAATACTCCGCGAAATGCTATTCTTAAAGCCATCAGTTTTACCATGGAATGTATCGAACAGAGATACCAAGGCATTCGAAACTATATTGGGCACATGCAAGCTTCAATGACGAATGACGAATATTCTCTGATGCAAACTGATCTTTCAATAATTAAAGACCTACAGAATATTGTCATCAGTTCTCTTACGGAGAAATATCACTACATTAATTCCCTGTCTGATCACGCAGATTATTATGCTCGAATTAACGACGAAATAGAAGAACTTTTATTTTGGTTAGACAAGTTAAATGATAATGTGGCCATTGAGTTCTGTAAAATTTTAGATTTTAAAGTGCCTTTGGGGCCTGTTAGTCTTACAACAACGCTGCAAGAAATAGTTGAAGAAGTTGCAGCGAATCCAAGCCCAGAAGCCAAAAGAATACTTGAAATAGTCCACATTAAAGGACAAATGTTAAGTACATCAATACGCCATAGCTCCGTTAATGAACTAGAGATTTCTAAAATTATTGAGAAAATTAGGGCACTAGAGAATCGTATAAAACGATTACAGACTCAAAATTCTTCTGCTTTAATGGCTCTGAAGCATAAAACGACATTTTTGGAAGAACGTCTGCAATCACTAGAGAATATAAAAAAATCAATAAATAATATGAGGCAAACACAAGGTACTGGAGACCAAGGTGTACCTGAGAACCTTAAGGAGCCTAAAGATATACATATTTTTAGTCATTTACTACCACATCACGATCGTTGCCGGCTTATTGATAAATTGCTACAATTATGGAAGAGCGCAATGATAGAAGCGGAACATCAGTCGGTAATATCTATACTCAGTGTGGCAGATTTAGCTGAAACCTTCACTGATGACAATGGGTGTTTTACTGTAGACAAATATGGAAGAAAAATTTACCGTGATGGAGATGATGGCCAATTGTATCAATTAAATGAACGTAATAAACTGGTCCCTCTCCAAGATGATGAAAAATGTATATATTTTTACGATGCCTGTGGCAGATACTACATAAGTGAAGCAAGAAAACGGATTTATAAAGATCATGATGGTGCTAGTGAATATATGCTCACTCACACTGGATATCTCGTTAAAGTTTTGGAAGAAATACATGGTGTGCAATATTTTTATGACTGGCTGGGCCGATATTATATTCGGAAAGAAGATGGACGTCAAATTTACACCGAAGAAAATTCACCTGACGAGTACGAACAGGACGGTTTGGGTAATTTAGTAAAAATTCACCCAGACCCTATTTATTATAAACCGTGTCCATTGGAACCGATAACCATGAAAGAAAATGAGTATCTACAACAAGAAGTCGGCCAGGCTCTAAAAAAATGTATAACACAAGTGGTTTTAACACAACCTAAGGATCCTATCGCTTGCTTGGCTGATTGTTTGATCCAATATAGTAAAAACATTAAGGCACATCAGCAGCTCATGAAGAAAGAAAAAGAAAGGTTTGAACTTAGCCAACTATTGCATCTCAATACCCCTAAAGATGTTTCAGTTATATGTTCTAGCGCGGAGGAAGCTCAAGACTTTAACTTTATAAATTATGGACATGACACGGATACGAGTTTTAATACTTATTAAGTAGGTGTATTTGTAAAAACGCATGTTACAAGTTATTGTGATCATGTAATGTATTCATGATATAACAATATTACCTACCTACCTACCCACTCCCGCGTTTAAAGTATTATAATCACTTTGTAAATAACATTCTACTACTTTGTAGACGTGAATGAAATTATTATTTTTAAAATTATTAGATCTTACATCAATTATTAGTACCTACTTGATTTATTCCTAGTTATTATTCTAGGAAATATAGATATATATATATTATATAGTTGACATATATATTCTGGAAATGTTTTACAAAAATTTAGTTTTATAATACAATACTTACTTAGATACTTGTAATTTATTGGTATTTCGAATGAAAACTAAATATGTTTATTTAATGAGTTTGCTTGATTTTTATAATTTAGGTGGCAACCTATCGTTGCTTCCCTTATTTTGTTAATCCGCGACTTCCCTGGTATCTTTTAGGTATTAATTTAGATAGCGATTGCTTTGGTTTAGTGTAGAAAGAACAGCTAGGTACTTCTCAATACTAACATTATTTTCGAAGATAAAAATCAACGAAATCGTTCTATCTGTTCATACGTGATGCGATGACCAAGGGAAATGGGGATGATGACAGGGTATGAAAATTAAAAATATAATTAGTCCGTAAGAAGCCTTGTACAAAATATGATAAGGATCCGCTTAGCCATTTCAAAGATCTAGCAAAATCGAAAACATTACCCCAGCAAAATCTCGAATAACTACGCAACCGATGTAAGAACAAATATAAAACAAGGCACAACATTTACTTCATCTAGACAACTAATTTTATAGCTAGTAATTATTTAAATATTCCCATTAGAAAGAAAAAGGTCTGGCTGGGGTAACGATACCCCAGCAGGAAATGTTTTTGTGAAATAATTAAAAAACTATAAGCGCAACAAATTTAGAAATGTGCGCAACAATTACAGAAGCCGCACAACTCATCAATACATAGTATAAAACAAAGTCGCTTTCGCTGTATGTCCGTATGTATGCTTAGATCTTTAAAACTACGCAACGGATTTTAGATGCGGTTTTTTTTAATAGATAGAGTGATTCTTAAGGAAGGTTTGTATGTATAATACATGCATATTGCACCCGTGCGAAGCCGGGGCGGGTCGCTAGTTATCTATAAGATTCAAATGACCATTTTCGACAACATCTGGCCTGGGGAACGCACTTTTTTTTAAAGGACCGAAAATCATTGAATTTCTACTCCCGCCTGGGTGAGTCTCTTACCGACTAAAAACTACCCCGTTCCTTATCCTGCACGTCGAGCCGGAGCCCCAGTAACCCGTTAGGTTCTCCGCGACATATAACGACGCTAACATAGAATATAGAAGGTCATAAGCGCCACTAATATTTGTATTGTAATTTTCGTGAGACATACTAAATAAATTATTATGTTTTCGGCTTACTCGCGTAGTAATTCTAGCGTGCCAACAGTACCACGCGCGCCGCCGTCGCCGATACCACGAATGGAAGATAGTGCGCGTGAATCACGGCAGAGGGCGCGCTGGGCCCGCAGACTCGAGTAGCCAGTAGCAGCGCGACAGTCGCCGCGTCGCGGGTCGCGAAATGCTGCTCATGAATATGAGCCTCTAGCATGGCTTGAAACTAGTCGAGTTCCTCGTCGAATTGCCACTAATATTGCTACGTACAAGTGTTTTGACACTGGACGTGCACTTCTGGCTGTTTCTGTACCATTGTTACGGCGTCCGCTTACTATCAGGTAGGTGGTAGTAAACTTGGCGCTAGTTGTGTAATTTTAATATTGTAAGTTGTAACGCACGTTCACACCTCAAGATAGATTTCATAGTATGTAGTAAGTTAGTGTAGTAACTTGGTACTTTCGACGTTTAGTCAGTAACAGACACTTTTTAAAAGGTACGTACAGAAACTCAAGAATTAAAAAAAACACACATTTTGTAATAAAACATCGGTTTTAATGAATATAGATTAATCTTATGTTTACTATCATTATAGTAAATTAATTATTTGCAGGTTTATTTTTATTTTTCTTTTTCTTTTTGCCTTGTGCATTCGGCGACTGACTGGTGTTAACGCTGGTGTTAGGGCTTTTCACATTATCTGTTTGTGTGACATTCTGCTTATTTTTATTCTTTTTATTTTTCTTTTTCTTTTTGCTAATGTTATCCGAGGGCTGGACCTTATTCTCGACTTGTGGTTTGCTGAAACAATAAAGAAAAGTGGTTAAACATTTTTTTCAATACTTCAGCTTATATAGCTTGCCTATGCCAACTGAATTGTGTAGTAAAAGTGTTGTTCAAGATAGAATAATCTTGATAAAAGATGCACTCGGCCAATGCCATACTACTTTAATATTTTATCAGAGTTGTACCATAGCTCGATAGATGGCGGTGGCCGATTTAAATTCAAGCTATGGGTTCCTGACCGGCAAAACACTAAGTTGATTTGTTTGACGTAAATAAATTGTCTTGCTCTGAGGTACATCGTACTTATACTTATTATACTTTTTGAATTCGTATCATTTCAAGCTAGTTACTATTTACTACTGTTTTCAAATACTTTTTTTAAATTTTTGTACTAAAGGATATTGTCAAACACCGCGAGGACACCGGTGACCGCAACCTATTGTTCTTTAATTGTGTCTATAATGACGGACGGTACCTACTCAACGAGTTAAAAAAAATATGTTTTTATCAGATAATTAATTAATCACATCGAACTTCATATTCCACATATCTCTCAGAATTGTCTTATATCTTCATTCTTCATTATTATAAAATATTTGCAGGCCAACTTATACCAAAAATACCTACATAATTTTAGTCAAAAATAGGTAACACTGGAGCAAAATGAGAGGTGTAGCACAATAGCACAGAAATAAAAATCGATATCGAATTGCTGTCTTTTATTCTGCCTATTTTTTTTTTTTATTTTCAGAACAGGCATTGACTAGATTTAAGCTTGTGCAAATCTTTCGTGGCCTCCTAAACGTACTAGCACAGTTTGCAAATTAAAAGAATAAAGTTACCAACGCTAACTTTAAAATTACCCGAGGTGTATTTTTTATTTCTTTTTTTATTCGGGACCGGCTTCTCAACAGTACGACGTATTCCTGTCTATTCAATCTTGGTCGAATTACTCTCGTCTCTCCATAATTCGCCTAAGAAGTATACAATTAGTAATTGAAGCGGCTGAAGAAATAAGACGCTCGTTCAGTTCAAGAGTGACCGTCAGAGAGGTAAAGAAGCGTATGCGGGCATGTATTCATCATAGAAAAGATCACTTTGAACAAAATTTAGTAAATAATGATGTTTTTGAAATTGCCCGTTTTTCTTAATACTCTACTTATCATCAAGCTATTATTTTTGGGAAATTTGTAAATAATTTTATGTTTTGGGTAGATAATAAACCAACAAAGTTTTTCTAATAGTTTGTATGCTTAGTGTAATATATATATTTTTAAATAAAACCAGTTTCCTATTGACCAAATCAGTGACTCAAAACAAAATTTGATTTTAATTTACTTGCTTAAAATGACTGATATTTCTGAAAGTACTAGTATTAGTAAATGTTTATTGATCTATTGACGACAAATTAAAACTAAAATCACTCAAATCAAACAAGTAGTTTTTTTTTATATATTGATTCTTTTTGTAGTTTGATCGGGATTTTTTCATCAAAACCGAAAATGTTGAATATTTTAGAAACTAGCCACTTTTGGACCAGAGACCTCAGGGCTACATTTGTAGGAAATTAGTTGTATTATTACCTCTCGACAGGATTACGTCGAGTTACAAGTCACCCTGTATAGTGGAAAATTACTTGCCCCGTTTGTTTATGTCAAATGTAAAGTAATAATTGAAATATTACCCTCTTTCTGAGGACATATCGATCTAATATGACAAATGTTTTTGATTTGTCTAAGCATGTCCACAAAATTTGCACATTATTGGGATGATGATGGGGTATGAAAATTAAAAATCTAATTTGTCCGTCATTTAGGTGATGAAAAATATTAGACACGTATTTTTTTTATTCTGCCGTATAATAAAATAATACTTAGATAAAACGAATCAAAGTTTAGGAGTGGGTTCTAAAATGTCATTTCAACGAATAAATTGTACATAGAAGTGACGTCACGTGACATTTCAAATCCATATATCGTCGAAAATATTCGTTTCTGTAAGAAAATAAAAATACGTGTCTAATGATTTAAAATAGACGGACATTAAAATAAAAGTTAGGCATCTACCCTATTATAATTATGCATGTAGTAGACTGTTGCTGTCAGTGATAAAACCACCATTCTTATGGGTAGAATATATTATACACCATATATTTTTATTTTATATAAGTTGTGTTACTTTTTTGGTTTACGATATAATTTATCAATACATATACATACCTAGTATAAAACAAAGTCACTTTCGCTGTATGTCCGTATGTATGCTTAGATCTTTAAAACTACGCAACGGTTTTTGATGCGGTTTTTTTTAATAGGTAGAGTGATTCTTAAGGAAGGTTTATATCATGCATATTGCACCCGTGCGAAGCCGGGGCGGGTCGCTAGTTCAATATAAAATACACAATTTTTTTCTGTTACCTAAAAATCATAATTATTTATCTTGATTTGGACCAGTAAAATGGAGTCACGTTTATTTGTACAAGTTCCAGACTCCGGTGTGCTGTTATTAAGAAATTCCTAACAATAACCTCGTGTTTAGCGGTCAACTCAAAAGTTAGTCTTTCTACAAGTCATCAAATTAATCATGTAGGATCTCAGGATCATTTTTTAGTCTCCAAACAAATATGGGGGAGGAGCAATTGTACCTTATCAGTTGTGTTCTGTGTCTATTTATATCTCAAAGTGATTACAGAAATGAAGAAACTCTTATGTACTCTTATCAAAGAATTTATTTTATTTCGCGGTTTTAAATCTCCACGTAAACCTCTTTTTTTAACGAATGTGCTATAGCGTGGACAAAAAGTAATATATAGAAATCTATCTTACTTTTTTTCAGCTGGTTTAGGTTGTCCTTTCGGTTTAGGTTGTCCTTTCGGTTTAGGTTGTTCTTTTGGTTTAGCTTGTACATTGGATTTAGCTTGTACATTAGATTTAGCTTGTACATTAGATTTAGCTTGTACATTAGGCTTAGCTTTCTTTTGTTGTGGTTGAGCACTGTCTACTGAAGCGGGTCGTTTCACAGGTTTCTTGCTTTCCGATTTCGGTTTTTCTTCATCCGATTCACCATCAACATCGCCATTTTCTGTGGCTTTCTCTGTAGTTTTACCGTCAATTTCTTCATCATCTTCATCTTTGAATGGCTCCGGCTAAAATAATAGAGACATGTAACTTAGAAAGACTTACACTTTAAAAATTTTCAAGACATTAACAACTATAGCAGTCAATACTTACAATAACATTGGAGAATTTCTTTAACTTTGCTACATAGAAACCATCCATATTATGAGTATGAGGGTAAAATCTTCGAGTCAGCTTCAATGAGGGATGGAACCTATGATGCCTGTACTTCACAAAACCTTCAGTACCAAAGTCTAGGCCAGTGGGCACCAGTTTCACATTCCTGCGTTTTAATGCATAATTTACAACCCATTCATTTTCTTCTGGCAGAATTGAACAAGTTGAGTACACAATGTAGCCACCAGTACTAGACTTAGCACTGCAACAGTCAATGGCAGCAAGAAGCAGTTGTCTTTGTATGTTGAAACACCTCTGGATATCCTTCTGGTCTTTCGTTGTCTTCACACTAGGATCCTTGGCGATAACTCCAGTACCAGTACAGGGAGCATCCAGCAACACCCTGTCAAATCCTTTCATTACATCAGGGAACTCTCTTCCATCGTGGTTACAAATAACAGCATTCACTACTCCCAGCCTGTGGAAGTTACCAACAATAGCTTTTGTCCTCTCTTTATTAGCGTCATTGGCAAATAATGTGCCAGTGTTCTTCATAATAGCTGCGATATGAGATGCCTTTCCACCTGGTGCAGCACACATATCCAATATCCTCTCATTTTCTTGAGGTGCTAAGGCCATTACAGGTAAGAAACTAGATGCTCCTTGTAAGATATAGTGGCCAGCCAAATACTCAGGCGTTGCACCAATTGGTACTGTAGAGCTGTATACAACCAGACCCACTTTGCTCCATTTACCAACAGGATCCAAATTGACACCCCTGTTGATGAGAGCTTGCGCCAAGTCTCGCCTTCTGGTCTTTAAACTGTTAGTTCTGATAGTCACAGGACGCGCGGTTTCACTGGCTTCCAAAAATTCGACCAGTTCTTGGACTGGAAAGATTTGCATGAGTACTTCCATCAAAAATTCATTGTAACTATAATATGTGCACAGGTCTTTTAGAAGTAGATCGGTATATTCACAACGAGATCTGCCTTCTTCTTTTAGGCGGTTGAAATCTCCCAAAACTGTGACAACATCTTTAATTCTTTGATGTACATCTTGGAGACTAGCTGGATTCTGTAGTTCCTCTTCAGATGGGAAAGCAAATACATCTTGTTTAGCAATGTTTAACTGCAATTCTTCATCAGCTAACTGTTTGTCAATCTTTTGTTTTTTCTTTAGTTTTATATTAGCTTTTTCTATGGGCAACATATCATCATCTTCATCTTCATCTCCATCTTCATCACTATCCTTTTCAGCGGCACTTGAGTCAGAATCATATTCTAGTTTACCACCACTGTCTGCCCCTTCATCCTCTGATAATGCTTCTCCATTTTCATCGTCTGAATCCTTAAATAAGTCATCCAATGTTCCAACCTGAAAACAATTATTGTGCATGGTTAGTTTCATATTGATGGACTAGCTTCTGCATGGGATAAAAAGTACCCTATGTGTTATCCAGACCATGATCTATCCCTGTTCCAATTTTTTTTATGGTATAAGCCGGTAAACGTGCATACGGATCACCTGATGGTAAGCAATCGGCGTCGCCCATGGACACTTGAACACCAGAGGTGTTACAAGTGCGTTACCGGCCTTCTGGATTAGGAATTGGACGATTGTTTCAGCCGTTTTGACGTGATTGAGTAACAAACATGCAGACATACACACAAACAAACAAAATCACTTGTGCATTTAAAATAATAATAAGATTTACATATTGTGGTGCATTAGATAAATAAGCAAATAATGAGATTTTTATTGCCTGGAAATTAAAAAGTTATACTCGGAATTTTAATTCGATTCCAGATTTGACAATTTCAGTGTTGCAACGTTATGACAAGTACTAAATAGTGACGTTGCGAAATTATTCGATATGGAAATGCAATATTTCTGGATCGATTCTTCTCGTTTATAATTTTACTCTCGTAAACTAAGTATATCAGGAAATTAAATATTTCTGAACCGATAATTTAGTTTTGACGATTAATAAACGATCTGAGACTTTTCTTTTATAATTGTGTGTGAAATAAATAAAAAAATGTCATCATGAAGGAACATGACCAATAAAACAGATAGATGTATTATGGTAATAAGTTATTTTATAAATTGTCGCCGTCATCGCTATCGCTATCCTGTCACTTTCTGTAACATTTTTTATAAAACACACACACTGATTGTTTATCGATTTTTGTGTTCATCACTACACTATTATATGTGGTATCATTATTTCACAAAATGACAGAAGCTATTGTCAAATCTGGAATCTAATTAAAATTCTGACTATAAGTGACATGACAATATGATCATACCGACCTTATACTTTTCTCCCCCAACTTTCTTCTTTCCCGATGTGTCATCATCAGAATCAACTTCCATTTCTGATCCATCATCGTCCTCATTGCCACTGTCATCTTCTTCATCATCCTCATCTTCAGACTCTGATTTATACGTTTTAGGTTTACTTTTTTCTTTTTGTTTGCCTTTCTGTTTAGGTTTCAGCCATTCCTTGTTATCATCTGTGAAACCTGTCACAAAAATACTTATTATTATATTGAAGCTTACCTATAGATGTAACTTGTATTATATTTTTAAGAGTAATACAACTGTAACTAAAGAAATTGTGAACCCGATTGAAAAGGATTAAATCAAGGAGTTTCCTGCTTTTTCTTCTCCATAGGAATCTACATCTTAGAATGAGCAAATAGCTTCACTAGAAGATTGACCGACAGACAGACACTAAATATTTTGTTTGACATTCAAGTCTCTTTCTGGTCTGTGATTGATTGAAATGATTTTGACTTTGACTTTGAATAAAACCCACTGATTTTCCCGACAAATTGTACTTTTGAACATCACAATTACTATTTGGTTATGGTTTTTTCCTTGACAATTGGAAGTCAGATCAAATAAAACCTTAAGAAGAAATAGAAAAATATTTAATACCTTGTGGAGTTTCTTCATCAGAACTGTTATCTCCTTCATCATCAATAGTAACTTCTTTCTGTTTTGCTACATTTTTCTTTGCTTGTTTCAGTGCCTTCCTCTTTTCTACTAATTCAGCCTTCTTTTTTGCCCTCTTTGCTGCTCTCTGCTTTTGTCTATGAGTGAGTTTCTTTTCTGTTGTATCATCTTCCACTGAAATAATGTATTTATAAGGAACGAAAATAAGTACTGAAAATACTAAGTAAGCTAATAAGCATGAAGATTATGGGAAACACTCATATTTTGTAGGCTCAACATGAAGTTAAGTATTTAAGGTTAGCATTGATCTAACAAATCACATGATTAAACTGCCTTAATATAAACTAGAATTAGTAAAAGGTGAAGATTTACAAATTTTATTATGACTGGACTTAAGACCATTCAAACAATATCATACCTAATATAGTTTCGCATGGTATTACAATGAGTGTCACAATGTTGTGGTGTGGTCAACATACATTACATGATGTTCCAAATAAATGTCAGTGACCATTTATCTATATTGGAATGATTTTTAAGGGGTTAATAGATATACAAGTTTACTTACGCAGTTCTTTTTTGAATACAGGGTCGGGCTGCTTGCGAGCTTTCCTGCCGGGTCCTTTTTTCACTTTCTTAGTTTCATCAAATTTCGCCTTGCGACCCATGGTTTGTCAAACTTAATATACTTACAGTAATAATATTTGATTATTGTATTAGTATAGCATCAACAAAACTGTAAATTAATTCAAAACTGTCGGTTTCTATGTAACTATCACCATGCACGATTTCAAATAAACCACACGTGTTCTCAAAGGTTGATATTAATTGTGATTTGACATTGGCACTTGGCACTTTGGCAGTGTGATAGTTGATAGTGACAATCACGAATAGTGTTGCTTAACCTAAAAATAAACTTAGTACTTTTTTTATTGGAAGGAACTAACGTTTGGCCACTATCTCGCCTGTATTACTGTTTAGACAAACGATTTAATGCCTTAAATAGGGATTATTTACACTGCATATTTATTTATAGGTTAGTTTTAGGAAAATGTAATGTAATTATTTTTTTTACATTGGTACTTACGACCTGTGGCGCCCTTATTGATTTTCATTAATAAATAGACAAATTTAGATATAGCACACGTCTTATTTTACAAACGAGTTTGTAAAATTAATGCAATCGTATATTTTTAGCTATTCTTGATTTAGACTATGCATATTTTTATATTCCCCATAAGAAAGATTCAAAACTATACCCATATATGTGCTTTTCTGTGATTCAATATTCAGTTAAAAATAACAATAACTGAATCAACTGAAATATAAAAAAAGGAAACATTTTTTGAGAAGTTCAGGCTTTAGAATTTATAAAGGAGGACGTAGAAAAAAAGACGGTCGAAATGTCACTTACAAATGATTGAAGTGAATCGTTTTTGCGTGTATTGTTATGAATTTTTCACATAAATTACACGATGTTACTTGTTATCTCGTGAGCTTGTTTTTTCACTGTTAAATTGGTAACATTTTCGATTTAAAAATTGGCAACTCTTACTACCATGCCATGTTGCAAAATTGTAATGACATTGACAGCTGACCTGACAGTTCCTAGTCAAAAAAATTCGCCAAAACTCGAACTCCGAAGTCGGAAAGAAAACATTACTCAGAAAAAAATAAGTAACTATTTTGGAATCCTATTGAAAATGCTATAAATTTATTGTTTCTTTAGTCCACACAAGTTGCCATAATTTATACAAAATGGTTTTATTAAAAAACGGCGCTAGAATTTTATTTAAAAAGCATGGTTTATACAGGTGAGTGTATAAGGTTTAAATGCATATTTATTCGCTGAAAAGGTTAATATTAATATTTTGTGTGGATCATCTTGTTGATATGTCTTACTGTTATCTTAATTTAAATTATTTATTTCCTCTTCCTGTAGTTTTCAGGGTCATTACGTAAATAGATTAAATGATGAAATTAGATGTCAATGTCAAGGCACAGAGCAACAGAAAAGAAACCTATTTAATTTCCCTAAAAAAGAAAGAGTCCGTGAATACCGAGGAAGGCAGCTGGTAGGGTAAGTAACATTATTAAAAAGTAGTTTCACTTTAACAAAAAGTTTTTAAGTCATCTGCCCATGTGTTATTTATTTTTTTCTAATAATTTCATCTGCATCACATATCTAATACTCAAAAGGTGCTTTAAATTTATAATATCAATAGTTAATGAGTAGGATAATGACTTCAGACAAGTTGATAAGCATTTGCATAATACCCATCATTCTAAATTATTTACATTTCAGTGATCAAACAGGTATTAAATTAACATATTCAACAGCTATCACTATAGTACTTGTTATTCCAGTAGGTATGTTGAGACACATTAGAAAACACTTTGTGTCTTGCTTAGATCTGTGTTTGGGGTTCATATTATATATCCAGTATAATATGGGTATCCACAGCAATATTCATAATTATATGCAAGAACTGGTTCTAAACAGTTTAATAATAAATTACATTGCATTCTAGAAGCACATAAAATCTTAACTCTACAAATTCCCCTTGATGTCATTGTTAAAATATTTATTTAGATATTTAAACATACTTTTGACTTGAACTCTATAAGTTAATACATACTTGGAAATAAAAAAGATAAGTAATAAACTGACAGCTTCTGAAAAAACTAAACATATTGTCTTTTGTCTAATTTCAGCCATACCATGGATCAAATGTTTGAGGTTGTCTCGGATGTTGATAATTACCATAAGTTTCTTCCATGGTGCAAGAAGTCTATAGTAAAACAGAGGAATACACAAAATCTAAAGGCAGATTTAGTCATTGGATTTCCCCCAATAAATGAGTCATACACTTCAAACGTAACCCTGCTGAAACCACATCTAGTGAAAGCAGAATGTAAGGATGGCAAGCTCTTCCATCACATGCTAACTCTATGGAGATTTAGTCCTGGGCTCAAAAGAGAATTGCAGTCTTGTGTTATTGATTTCCAAATTAGTTTCGAATTCCGCTCCGCCTTCCATTCACATTTGTCGAATATATTCTTTGACCAAGTTGCTCGACAGATGGAGAGTGCTTTTATAAAAGAAGTTGGTAGGCGGTATGGACCGGCTTCCATACAACCCATAAATCTACTGTTGAATACTACTTCTCACAGAACTTGATGACACTACCACATAAGACTATAGTTCAAATTACCATAGTGTAAATGTATTTATTGTGATTACTTGTATTAAATTTGTGATTGTGATTAAAATGTGACATTTATGAATGTTTTTACCATGAAGCAGTGCTTCGCCTATTGTTACTGGTTAAAAAAATAAATGTATTTTTTATTTAAAAATAATTTTTATTCACATTTGTCCACACTGTGATATTGTTACTGGTATTTTTGGTTTATTGTTAGGTCCAGTAGGGACATTTTCTATTTTCCTCATAACAAGTAGTCCGTCTATAACTCTCCCGAACACTACATGCTTATTATCTAAAAAGTTACACTTAGCACATGTTATGAAAAACTGGCAGCCATTAGTATCTTTACCACTATTAGCCATTGACAGTAATCCTGGGGAATCATGTTTTAATACAAAGTTTTCATCTGCAAATGTGCTCCCTCCATAAATGCTCATAACACCAGTACCATCACCCTGAAACAAATGAAATTACATATCATTAACTCGTCGAGTACCGTCATTATAGACACAATTATAGAACAATAAGTTGCGGTCACCGGTGACCGCTTGGTGTTTGACAGTTTAATTAATTATTTTTTCTCTGTGTTACCATAGTTGTGCTATAAATTAAGCTACTATAAAAATAAAACTGAACTTACATTGACAAAGTCACCACCTTGAATCATAAAGTCTTTTATGACTCTGTGGAATGTAGCCCCTTTATAACCAAGTGGCACACCATCTCTTCTGTACTCTCCTGTACAGAATTCTCTAAAGTTTTCGCTTGTTTTGGGCACTACATCCGCAAACAATTCAAAAATCATGCGTCCTATTTCCTGTAGAAAAACAAACAGTAAATATAAATTTGATTGAAATTCTTGAAATCAATAAATGATTGCATGAATATTGTACACAAAAACTAGAACTTACCGTAGTTCCAACAGTTATATCAAAAAATACAACCGGATTGTTTGGGTTTCGAAGTTGAGATTGAATTTGATTCCAAGTTGGCATTTTGTGAGTTTAATTTCATGTAATATTCGTTAATGACACAAAAGTTAATATGATTGAATGATCATTAGAATATAACTACAAATATTTTCGCTTTTAAGTACAGTTTTGTAGATATCCATTTACCTAACCTAAAAACGAAGCTACCGACTGTCAATTAGTGTTATAGTAGGTTGACAAACAACTTAGATTACAACAATCCAAAATTCTAAACTTGCAAAGTGTAAGTGTTAGGTGTAAATGCTATAAACTACGTTATTTATAATATCTTTGATCCAAAGAATCGTAAAATCACGCCAGTATTTGAATGATAAGGAAATATACGTGAATATGTAAAATAAATTTCTGTTAACGTTAATCTATTCTACGCAAAACGGAACTGTCCATTGCTATAATTTGTCAACAACTGTGAAGTGTGAACCGGCATTGTCAAATTTAGGGATGGACGGATGGTTGTTATTCGATTACGTTGTTAAAATCGATTGATTGAACGCCCAACTTCGATGTTCGATATACATCGAAAACTGAAAATGGATGTTGGAAATCAAAAACTAAAATTATAACACGGTATAAAATAGAAGCGTTTTACCTACCAATAAAACGCAAATGAATTTATTTATCTTATTCGAAGCTTATTAAATGAAGATAGGCCTTCTGCTTCCCTCCTTCCGCTTTTTCTATATGTCTATCTCTTTCTACTACGTCACTTCCACTTGGCTGTAGTGGGGAGGCTTGTTATGAGAGACTCGCTATTTTTATTTCATTGAGTCTCATTACCAGGCAGGGCTTGATTATAAATATCGAATAAGGTAAGTAAATTAATTTACGTTTTATTGGTAGGTAAAACGCTTCTATTAATTTGAATTGACCGTTATTCGAAGCTTATTTAATTGAGACGTGTAATAGAAAAACTAAGTAAAATAGTAAGTATCTAAAAACATATGTATAATTATGTTTGATGAAAGGTATTGAAAACCTATTATTTTTAATTGTTCAATAACAATTGTATTTGATTTGAACAAAAACAGATGTTATATATTTCTGAGGTATTTTATTACCTCGTTTCTAATTTTCTGATCGACTGGATTGAATAAAAAGGCAAAGGCACACACATCTTAGAAAGGATCGCCTCAAAAGGATAACTATCCACTAAATTTTTTCAGGTCACAGCTGATCTGAAATACTCAGGATGTCTTGAGGGATTACTGATACGTTAATATCGGTTACCACCAAAAGGGACTTGATTCTGACCGCAATTAGAGTTTTCTATGCCAGTTTAAGTCCACGTCTAATTAAACAAAACTATAACAATTTCCATTATTTTCAAAATTGACACATAACATTACATCTTACGCCATTAAGTTACGCTTCTTATGGTATGCTTAGTCCATTGGACTGAATCTATGCTTTAGAAATTTGATATACAGGCAGGGTATGGGCAGACTTAGGTGATAGAATGATTTTTATCCCGATTAAATGCTCCCTTGGTAGACATACACGGGCAAAGCTAGTTTATTATTATCCATTTAACATCTTAAAAGCCATGGCAGTTACCGGTGACCGACATTAGCGGAGGATTTGCCTTTAACAGTTTTTTATTGGCAGCCAAAGCCTTAATCAACAGAATCAGTTTTTGATCTAAAAACCGACCGAACAACTAGTACGTCATTATGATTACGGTAATTATTAGAATCAATATCGAGCAAAGTTAAGTCATGGAATCTTCTCCTGGAGTGTAGGAGAAATAGAACTGCTGTTCGTCACTGCACTTGAAAGATTATTAATACGTTTACTGTCTAAGAATCTAGCTAGATCGTTTATGACCCAAACAGGGGGATTGACATGGTCAATCACCATTTGCAACATGTTTTACATACTTACATTTGAGATTAACAGACTAACTGATGCGTTAGTTCATAAGTTAGATTAATGTTACTGATTGTATAGTTTTTAGCAATAAATACTAAAGGACATATGGTTCTGGTTAACAAAGGACAGTTAAGAGATCAGATATAGATAAAAATGTAGTCAAAAATCTTGCTATAGGAGTCGAGGCGTTTCCCCCTCCGGTACGGTGCAACCTTTTGAGGACTGCAAAATAGATTAAACTTATTGACGGACGCCATGACTTCTTAAGAGATTTTAATTGTCCAGAATATCATTTTAATAGTATTCCAGACGGCTCACATTTCCACACTTCCAAGGTCATGTCGTAGACGTTCGGTGGTGCCCGCCTTGTTCTTAATTAGGACTTTGTCTAGGTGATAAAGCGTAAGGAAGCGAGGTACTACGGCAAGCGAGACACGCCAAAAAACTCGCTCTCATTAAGGAACTACTAGTAGGCACGTTCTCTGTGCCTGATTGAGATAATCCAGGACCTAAGAAATCAAAAAAGCTGGAAAGAACGCCCCTGCTGGGTTTTTCAACGTTTCCATATGTGGGAAAACGCGTCACAAAAGAGGGCTTGTCCATAGTTTTGTTATAAGGGTACGTGATTATCACTACATGCACTCAGTATGACGCAAATAAGTTGATCAGTGGAACTCCGCATATGAAGACCGTTTTGTTCGTGCATTCTGCAGACAGATGCTCTCTAAAGTTCGCAAAACCTCAACAGATGATCTTCCCTGGGCATTGTACATATATATCTGGTAAATGAAATATGTGTATGTTAACGCATATGAACGTAAGTATAATGGGAAACCGAGGGTTAAATCCAGGACTGAAGCCACTTGGTGCCCCCCCCCCCTCCCCCCCCTTTCGTAACGCATGTATGCGACGATAGACTTGATGTCGTCCTGTATCAAACCAGTCTATTTCAGGAACAGACAAGGATCTTCCAAAATTCTTAGAATTGCTAGCGTTCTCTTTTGGTTGCTATGACGATCATTCTCGTGCTCTGACCAGAGACCCAAGAGAAAGAGATTGCCCAGGTAAGCTCCCTTTGCAATATCTGACCTGACGCATTTTGCAATCTGCTGGGAATGAGAAGGTAGTAGCATGTGTAGGATCGACAGAGGATGATAATTCTGGCTCCTCCATACAAGATTGTTCACATGAGATAAAGTGAAGACCAATCTGCGATCACCCTTTAAGATTATATTCTTGTAAGATCAGAAACGCTTGAAAGTCGAGTATTTCTCTTGATACTGCAGAAGCAGCAAAAATAACTAGGCTCTGGAGTTCTGTGCGTGACTTGCATTTCTTCCACATTAAATGGCAAAATGATCCCAGAAATTTTGCTCTCGGGAAAATGTTTGTGATTTGACCATGGGTTCCTGAATATTGACCAACTTTTCTAGAACATGGAGCCCAATTTTCATACGAAGCCCGAAGTTGGCCTTCGTCCTGGTGGCAATCAAAAATCCCGACACCTCATTGCCTAAGTGCCAGACAATCGTAGCAAAAGTATTGGGCGCTGCGTTCATGCCTAATGACAAGCAAGTCATTCGTAGCAATTCATTGCGATAATTTTGGCGCAGAAATCGTCCGTGGCTATGGGCCACAGGTAAATGACACTACGCCTCAGAAATGTCAATTTTGCATAGACAATCAGGTTGTAGAAAATGAGAAATACTTGTGTGTTAATACGTATGTGTATTAACGAATCGGTCAGCTGATATATAAATTCTGAATCCAAATGGACGATGCGGTCGCCCTTGGACCAGAAATATCAATGATAAGAAGCTTGGCTGCTCAGTAGCTCGGTCCGAAATTGCCTGTTCTGTTATTTCGTTCATGACTGATGTCATTTCTGAACAGAGTGACAGAGATTCTAGAACAGATGTTAGATGAACAGATGTTCCAGTTCAACAAGTTCGTTCCGACAACATTGGGGTGAACAAGGGACAGTTTTTGTAAAAAGCATATATACGGTCGAATTGAGAACCTCCTCCTTTTTTTGAAGTCGGTTAAAAAAGGAATGCGATACCTTGTTATTTCATAATCTGACGTTCACAAGTTCCCATCGGTCTAACAATTGCAGGAGACTGTCCGCTCCGTTAGTAATACTTACGTCGTTTGTTGTCAATGCTGCAGCATCAATGACGGGGCGATGACACACGTCTTCGCCCCTGACTTTGCTAATTTTATTCTGCCGAGGATTTGCCAACTCCGACCTTTAAATTTTTCGGTGCGACCGAAATATACAAAAACAGCATGAATATGATACAACCACCTTGCGGAAGTGGGTTTATTGTTATTGTCACCACCTTGTGGAGGCAGGTTTATTGCTCTTGTCACCACCTTGCGGAGGCGGGTTTATTGCTGTTGTCACCACCTTGCCAAGGTGAGATACTGCTAGCACATTACGAATGCGTATTAATGTGTTGGAAAGCTTGAGCAAAAACCCTGCAAAGGCTTTGTAAGGCTGTGGCCCCTGTGACGGGCCTCGAAATTTGAAACTGGATCTACCTGCGAGGTAGATGTAATGTTTACCTTTTGCAATGGCCATAAACATTTTCTTACGCCACCAGCTTATTCTACAGTGGCAGTAAACCTCTCTGCGTTGAATAAATTGGTAAAATATATTGGCGGAATTTTCTTCAAATTGGCCTTATCAAGAAGTCCTTTGTCTATTTATTGGCTAAGCCTCTTAGCATTTGGTTAATCTCAGAACGATGTCCGCAAACAATCTGTAATAAAGCTTAATCCAACACCATTCTCGGAGCGTTGGCTGAAAGGTGGGACTCTCCGATCTTGGGGCGGTGGATACGACTGCATGCAGTCAAGTAGACATCCCCAGGTTCGGCGAGCCTCATGCTCGTATAATATATGTACTAACACTAGTTTATAAGTTCATACTATTACTAACAATAATGTAGCTACATCAATAGTTTATAAGTTTGCATTGTCTGTCGTATATGGAATTAATTCTGAAATAAATGTTTATTATTATTATTATTATTATTATTATTAAGACTAGATACTTACTAAAATCCCCTGTGGAAAAAGGGTACTTCGGAAGTAGCACATCACATGTTCTTGAAGGGTTCCCAAAATTCCTTGTTAAAGTGCACACAATATGCAATCAAGTACACCATTAACTTTAAACTCAAACTTAATATCAAAGCAACAAATTATATAATAGGAACGCACATCGGTTTCTATATTTGCACAGTAATCTCACAAGACAATTAGCTACAACAGACAAAAAACTGTGCAATATTATGAACAGTCGAACAGAACCTTCGTTCTTTGTTCGTAAAGTGGTACAAATCCACCCGTTTTCCTGAGCAATAGCTATAGCATAGGGTATCGCGTCAGCAATTCCACGTATGCAATATACAGTCCAAGACTGTACCGAATTAACCAACAGTTCTGTTGGGAGCACAGTTCTTAAGTTTTATCCGAAGACACACTTTGATACACATACAATTTCAATAAAATGTATCAGGTCATCAACATCAAAA